AAATTAAATTTTAAATTGTTGTAAAAATATATTATGATTATACTAAAAATAATATTAATTAAAATTATATTATAAATTGATTAAAAGATATTTTATACATAATTACCATAATAAATAATTTATAGCACAAATTAAGTCATTATTATATATATTATTATTATTATATAATTCATTATTATATTATATTCTTTATAAAAAATTATTTTTAATAATTTATAATAATAATTATAACATTTTTTCTAATAACAAAAAAAAGTAATTAATCATTAAGATATGATAGATATATTTTCTTATTTATATATATATATATATAATTGTGAAAAAGAATTAATGAATTATTAATTTTTAAAAATTTATATATAATTGTATTATATTTGAAATATCAATATATAGCAATATTTACATATTTTTAAATACATTAATTACATTATTTTTAAATATTCTGATTTACAATAGCAACATTAATTTAATGATTTTATAATTACTTCTTTATGTTTTCGTTTTATTTTAAAAATATTATTTATGCATCCAAAAATATTACAATTATAAATTACTTTATAAATATTTTATCTATCTGTTTTAATTATTGATAATTAACAATAAAATTATTTAAAATTATTTATAATTAATATATGAAAAACAATAAAATCAATCTCAAATTATGTAAAAAGAAATAATTTTTCAATTATCATATGAAGATTAAATCTATCTATTCATTATTAAATGATTATAGTATTTTAATATTTTAATTGTATTATACAATTACTTATCATTAGTTTATAATTTTTATTTAAAATTATTTGATTTAATTTTCAAAACTAAAAAATTTTAATCTAAAAATTAACTACGTTTGATTTTATTATTTTAGAAACGTAAAAAAATTTAAAGAAAAATTATATCTCAATTAAATAATATATTTTATTAAATTATTATATGTAAAACTATAATTATATATAAAATTATAGTTCATGAAAAAAAGTTTTTATCATATGATAAAACAAACAAATTATGATATTTAAATTCATGAATCTCCTATAGTGATATTTTTAATATATTCCATTTTCCAAATATTTAATAATTTAATAGATATTTTATTATTAAATAATATAATTCATCATCACATGTTAATCTAATCAATTATTTTTTTATATGTGCAAAAATTTTTATAAAATATATATATTTTTATAAAATTTTTATAAAATTATTATTTATAATGAATATAGTAGATATGAAAATAGAAAAAAATTGGTTAGTTTCATTTATTAAGAAGTGGGTATATGTTTGACTTCCACTTTTCAAAAGTTGCATTGAATGCAGAAGGGCAATGCTGCCATTTTCATTTGATTCTCTATAAGTTCAGAGGTTTCCAAGATGGCGAAGAAAATGTTAGCAGATAAAACACCTCAAAATGAGGATAATATTAAAAATAATGATGATACATTTAACGAAGATGAAGAACCAAATTTTAGTGATCCTGAAGGATTTGTTGATGATATTACCGACGAAGGTAAATAAAATTTTTCTTCAACGACAAGACAATTAAAACTATGCTATGATGTCTGAAAGCATGGCTACGTATAATCGCAAATGTGGCATGCATACCTAACCTAAAAAACCATGAGTGTTTCATATTTTTCATTAAATATTGTTTTATAACTTATTTTAAATATAAATTTTTTAACATTTTAATATAATATTTATATACTTTTATTTATATATTTTTTTCAGAATTGCTTGGCGATATCTTAAAACAAAAACCCTCAGAGACAGATGGAGTAGAATCAGTAATTGTCATTGATGGAGTCCCTCAGGTTGAACCAGAAAGATTAGAAAAACTTCAATCTGTTATTAGCAAAGTATTGGGAAAGTTTGGAACAATAGTAAATCAATATTATCCCAAAAATGAAAATGGATATACAAAAGGTACATATATTAATAATTTATGATATCCTTATATTTCAAAAATTATATATAATTTATATATAATTTTTTTTTTTTCAGATACATATTTCTAGAATATAACAATCCTCTCAATGCCTTAGCAGCTGCACAATCTGTAAATAATTATAAAATTGACAAGCAACATACATTCAAAGTAAATTTATTCACTGATTTCAAGAAATTTGAAGAAATTCCAGATGAATGGGAACCTCCAAAACCACAAGAATTTAAAGCAGCAGCTGATCTTCATTATTATCTTTTAGAACCAGATGCTTATGATCAATTTTGTGTGCTTTGTGGTAATGGTCCTTCTGTTACTGTTCAAGTCTGGCAAAATTCTGCTCCTGAACCAACATTACTTGAAGAACGTTCTGTAAGTTATTATATATTATTTAATATATATATATGTATATATATATATATATCAATTTTAATCAATAATTTATTAATTTTTATTTATTTAATATAAAATTTAATTTATACTAAATATTTAATTAATTAATTTAATTAATTTAATTTATTTAGTATAAAATTTTTATATTTTTCACATAGCGCTGGACAGAGACATATGTTAAATGGTCTCCATTAGGAACATATTTAGCAACATTCCATAAATTGGGTGTTGCATTATGGGGTGGTCCTCAATTTTTGCAACAAGCTAGATTCAGTCAAAAAGGTGTTGAATGTATTGATTTTTCTCCTGGTGAACGTTATTTAGTAACATATACTCCAAGAACTGATCTTGGTTCTGAACAGAAACGTCTTGTAATTTGGGACATCCTTACTGGTCAAGAAAAACGTGCGTTTTTCGCAGATGGTTCTTCAGTATGGCCTATTTTCCGCTGGTCACATGATGATAAATATCTTGCTCGTATGGGAGAAGATATTTTGAGTGTTTATGAAACACCTGTATGTTCTTTTTCTTAATATTATGAATTAATTATTTGATAAATATTATTGAATATGTTCAATTTTTGATATTCATAAATATTGCAGTCATTTGGATTACTGGATAAAAAAAGTATAAAAATTCCTGGTATCAGAGATTTTAGTTGGTCTCCTACAGATAATGTTCTTGCTTACTGGGTACCCGAGGATAAAGATGTCCCAGCAAGAGTTACTCTTCTCGAAATTCCAAAGTAATAATTCTTAATATTATTATAATCCATATTTCATAAATTATATAAATAACTAAATATTATATATATTTCTAGTCGTAATGAAATTCGCAACAAAAATTTGTTTAATGTGGCTGATTGTAAAATTTATTGGCAAAAATCAGGAGATTATCTTTGTGTAAAAGTCGATCGTTTCGCCAAACGCAAAGAAAAGACGGAACAGAAATACACGGTATTTATAAAAGTATTAAAATTATATATTAAGATGTACAATTTAATGAAAATTTATATATTTATCTACAGGGTATGTCATATAATTTTGAAATTTTTCATATGAGAGAAAAACAAATACCTGTCGATAGTGTAGAAATAAAAGAACCAATCCATGCATTTGCTTGGGAACCTGTGGGAAGTAAATTTGCTATTATTCATGGAGAAATTCCAAGTGTTAACGTTAGTTTTTACGAAGTACGATATGGTCATCAACCAGCTCTTCTCAGTGAGTTTTTTTTAATAATTATTATTTCTTATATTTATCAATATTTTATTATAGTATTATTGTAATATTATATATATAAATATTTATTCTATTCAATAGAAAAATTGGAAAAAAAAGCTTGCAATCATCTATTTTGGTCGCCATCTGGTCAGTTTATTGTTCTTGCTGGATTGACAACTATGGCAGGAGCTTTAGAATTCATTGATACTAATGATTTTACTATCATGAATTCAACTGATCATTATCAAACTTCAGATGTAGAATGGGATCCTACTGGACGGTAATTATTTTAATATTTATATCTAAAATCTTTAATATTATAAAAGTTACTTAAGTATGTATTTTTTTATAGATATGTGGTAACAGCTGTTTCTAGTTGGAAAACTAGTGTGGATAATGGATATTGGATATGGACGTTCCAAGGACGTATATTAAAAAGAGTTAATCTTAATCAATTTAATCAACTCTTATGGAGACCAAGACCACCAACATTATTGACACCAGAACAAATTAAAGAAATTAAGAAAAATTTGAAGAAATATTCTGCGCAATTTGAAAGTAAAGATCGTATGCGATTAACCCGTGCTTCAAAGGTATTTATATTATATTATATTAATATATATTTATTATAAATTGTGCATTTATTATAAAATTATTTTTTAGGAATTAATTGAGAAACGCTGTGCAGCGATGAAAGCATTCGAAGAATATCGTTCAAAACGCATACAAGAATGGAATAATCAAAAGAAGAGACGTTTAGAATTACGTAATGGTATGTAATGGTTTAGAATGAATTTTTTTCTAAAATTTAAAAGTATTTTACTTTTTTTTTACATCCTTTGATTCTTTTTCAGGTATTGATACAGACGAATTAGATTCTGATTCCAAAAATGTAGAAGAAGAAGTAATAGAATTTTTCGTCAAAGAAGAAACATTTATCATCGACGAGAAATAAAACTTTGTGGAAAAAGGTTTTATCTCTGCCATTTTTGGAAATCTCTAGTGCAAAACCAATACAGTCATTTGTGAAAAGTGATATCAGAAGTAATTATCTTCCAGAGTCACATAAATTGTGACTCTCCATAGTGAACTAAAATGACTATTTTAAGTGGTTATGAACAGTTTCTCTTATACTATTTCTGCATCTCAATTGGAATTGCTTCCACCTTTCCGACGTTGCGTATGAAACGTCGTAAACATAATACCATAAAGTTTTATCACGTTCCATACAGGATAGTATGTCATTCAACAAATAATTATTATCAGTATAAATATATACAATGTACTTTATTTATCAAACCCATATGGCATAATCTATTTAGTTTTATATATTTATAAATAGAAAAAAATTAAGATTTTTTTATTTATATCTTTTTACTAATTTTAAATGTGCTGTAAATGGTAATGAACAAATTGTAAATTAATAATCTAAATCGTTATTCTTTTTTATAGTTTTTATTTCATATAAAGAAATTGGAAAATAATTAGCATGAATAAATATTCATACATAGGTTTTATGACTTAGATTACATCCAATGATCATTCCATGGATATAATACTAATAAAGAATAGATAAATATAAAATTAAAAATAATATCGAAATAGAGCAACAATAGCACATACCCAAGTCGGAGGAATTCTATCTTGTTCAAAAAAGGTTTTATTCGTTACACGTGTCGCACACGAAAATAAGCGTTCATGCTCTTTTTGTAGTTCATGTTGTAAACTTTTATTTTTGGTTAAAATAGCAATTTGGGTTTCTAAATCTTTGTTAACTGATCTATAACCTAAAATCAATTTTTTTTTTTCATTCTAATTATTTTAAAATTAATTTGTTTTTAAATTTTTTAAAATTGTCTTTAGATTTTACCAAAATTAGGAGATCCAATAAGAGTAAGACAAGGTTTTTCTTGGTTTGGTAAGAAATACCAAAGTCCTTTGGCATGATAAGTCCATCCTGGTCTAATAAATTCCCATAAAGTTATTCTATTTTGTTGCCCTAATTTGTTGCAATTTTTAACAAATGATTCCTCTAATTTCGTGTATGCTGCTGGGATACTACCAGCAATACCCTTTGCAGCTGAATAACATAATTATATTAAATAAAAAATTAATAATTTTCATTTGTTTATTTTTAAAATATAAACTTACAGAAGAAACCATTAGTAGATGGATGTGCTGTTAAAAGATGACATGTCGCTTGGCAATGTTTAAGTAATGCTTCACTATATTCTGAAGTTAAATTAAAATAACCAGTTGCTAATTTGAGAGTTGTACCTGGTGGAGCTGTCTGTAGAAGTTTCAATGTTATTTGACTATCGTGATAAATATTTAATTGGCCCATTTGTATTAAAGGAAAAATCCAAGTATCTACATCTAAATTTTTTTCTATGAAAATAATAGAAATTATATTTCAATTGGAATTTTTTTCATAAATATACATAGTTAAATATATATACCTATTTTTTCAAGATCAGAAGATTCTTCAAATTGCTTCTGAAACAAAATTCTTATACTATATGCTGCTTCTTCTATAAATGTGATAGGATCTTTAAGAGGATCAATTTTCATAGCAGAATTTAATATTGTACTTCCATCTGATTGAAGCACAAAACTAAATTCTCCTACTTTTTGAACTAACTCGTCATAAAAATCACAAAGTTCTTTACAATTCTCAATCACAAAATAACGATCTTGTCTATTTGTAAAATAATCATTGCTAAGATTAGCACTAAAAAATAAAATTAATTTAAATATTATAATTTTTTATTTAATAATTAATTTAATATAATTTTAAATAATTAAATATTTACCACTAATTATTATATCATTATCTATCATATACAATTTCATATGCTGTAATCCTATTAATTCATTAAAGCGATCTGGAATAATCATTTTTAAGAATCCACGAAGTTTAGGAGTATGATATAAAAAAATCTGACAACTATGATTATATTTTCCATTAAGTAATGGTTCTAACATTTTACGAGAATTTAATTTACCTCTGGATCCTCTCATAAAATCTAATAAAATTTTAACTTCAACATTACCATTGCTTGAAATTAAAGCTTCATTAATAGCATTTACCTATATATAAAAAAATTATTTATCATATTAAATCTTTAATTAAAATAAAAAATTATGTAGATTTTGAAATAAACTTACTAAATTAGATTCTAATTTTCCTGTGCCTAAATATAATGATGCAAATGTTATTCTTTTTCTTGCATTTTTACATTTTTGTACAAGAACAGAATAAAATACATTTGGTTCATGAATTATTTTGATCTGAAATAATTAATTCGTATTATATATTTTATGAATTCTTTTTTTATTAAATACATTTATATATTCACCTCAGATCCTCTTAAGGCAAAACAAGGTGCATTTTTATGCAACCATGTTAATGTATGCAATTCAGTGTGGACTGTTTCAAATTCTAAATCTTTTTCTTCAACTGTCATAGTAATTGAAGTAATATTTTTTATTATAGATGAACAAGAAAACTTTAACTCTATTTGATTTGATATTAATAGTTTCTTAGTATGAAACCTAAAAATTCATATAAAAATATTAGTTTTCATTAAGAATTATTAATAATCATAAAATTTGCAACACAAAATATAAAAGTATAGCAAATGAAATATTACATAATATAATAAAATTATTAAAAATGTATTAGTTTCATTCATAAAATCAATCAATTATTCTAACAAAATTTTCATAAAAATTAACGACACGTGCAGAAAATATAAATAACGCGTCAAAAATAATCGTTATTAAATTTATTTGTCAAAATAATTTTCTTTTAGAATTTCTTTTATCATCAAATAAAAACTTGTCAAGTCCATAAGATATGTCATAACATGTAGTTAATTCTTATGTCAAATTAACATATGTAGGTTAAGCTACTATTGTTTGCTTTAAAAAGAATTAAATTTGATAAGACATCTATATTGCTTGAATCTTTTCAATTCTACTCACCACTTTACAGTTTTAGGAATTAAATTATGCATGAGTAGATTCTTAAATAATAAATCATTAATAAATAAACTTCAAATTGTAAATAATTCTTCCCTCTTAACTTCTAACTAGAAATTACAACATGCGCAATCTTCTGGACTTTTATCGAATTATATGTATAAAAATATTTGCACGTTTTTCTTTTACTTTAGATTTAAATGCAAACATTTTTATGATAAATTATAATATACGTTCATATCAATTAATTCCATTAATATATTAAATATTCATAATAATTGAGATTTAAAATCTCTTAAAATATAAACATAAAAGATATATTATGTCAATATTTTCTAATAATTTGAATTTTAACAAAGTATTAAATTTGTCAAAAATAATTCATTTTTTTAGATTCTATTTTGTCTATTTTTAAAAATATAAAATATTTTTATAATTATAACTATTAGGTTAGTTAAAGTATTTTTATAGAACTTATAATAAATTATTAATATATTTAGTTCATATAAATTTTAATTTAAATAAAATTAAAAATTCTATTATCTATTATGCAACTTATTTAGTAGTAATTTATATATTTTCAATCACTAGGTTGTGAATTCTTATGCAAATATTTCTCATATTACATACATATATATCTCTTTCGAAGATGATATATAATTTCTATGTTGATCGTAAATCGCAAAGAGAATAAAAACACACTTTTTTTTGAAATCATTATTGAAATATGAAATCTATAAAATGTAATATTCTTTTCTATGATAATACCTACAAACGTGTGATATGATGAAAAAGAGATGGAGTTATTTATATATTCTATTATGAGTACGAAAAAAAATTTTCAGTTATTGCATAATTCAGCATTCGCAATAGAACATATAAATGGCTCCATCTTTCTTTCATTGGATATGTTTGTAGGTAATACTATTGTAACAAAAAATGTGCAGTAGATAGCGACCTGTCAACTATCGAAAAGTCACGTGACTATCCTATCTCTTAAATACTATATACATATATTCTTATATAAATTGCAAAGGAAGCGCCTCTTCACGGAGATACTTGGAATTAGTGATCGATAGAAAATAAAGAGTGTTAGAAGTGATTCTGGAGGATTTACATCGAAATAGATATAAAAAAATGGATTTAAATGTTAAAAAATTAGTAAAAGATGCTGGTGCTGCACTTAGTAGAGTTGTGCAGGTAAGAGGTACTTGATTTAATAATTGAACAGATTTTTGTTGATAAAAAAATATATTAGTTAAAATACTTGTAACTGAACGCTGTCACTTCTGACATTTTATATCTTTTTCAGCGAGAAAAACATTTAAATAAAATAAGCATCACTTGACAATTATTATTTTATTTATATTCTATAAAATAATTAACTTTTATTTGCAAAATATTGTATATTTGTTTATTATTTTTTGTCTATATATTAAAATTAATTTTTGAAATATAAGGTTAGTAAATATATTATTTTAATGATTGTTTGTGTTCTATATTTTTTATCTTTATTTCCTTATTTTTTGTGTTTATTATAGAATTTCATAATTTTAAATAATTTCAGAGAATAGATGTGCAATATATGTATATTAATTAATTAATTATTTAATGACTCAGAATATCAAATAAATGTAGATGACTAAGTAAAACTGTTATCTATTTTAAAATTAATGTCATCATAATTTAGTAAATGAATATATTTTAATGTTAAGAAAAATATTATAAAATATTATAAAAAATTAATATATGACAATGTAAAACATTATTTATGATATTAAAAAAAAATATTATTATAAATTATTATAATTTTCCAAATTAGAAATAAATTAAATTAACAAATAATGAAGATACTTAATATAATTATATTTTTATTTTTAATATTTTATATAATATAACATTATATGATTTTTTATTATAATTTATTATAATAATTTAATAATAAATTATAGTAATAAAACATCATATAATGTTTAAAATCTTTTTTTAGTTAACAGAAGAAACATTAGGAACATCTGAAAAAACTGAATTAGATGCACATTTAGAACATCTTGCAGACAGAGCAAATGCAACTAAAACATGGACTGAAAAAATTCTTAGGAACATGGAAGCAGTACTTACTCCAAATCCAGGTAATATGAAAAAATTATATGATAAATTATAATATTTTACATATTTATAATAAATATAATATAATATAAATATAATAAATATAATATAGAATTTATGATAAATTTGTTGCAGGCAATAGAATTGAAGATTTTTTTTATGAAAAGATTGATAAGAAGAAACCTAACAGATTGAGTAATCTAGAATATGTAGGCATGGATATGATAGAAGCAGGAAACAATTTTGGTCCAGGAAATGCTTATGGTTTGTATAAATATTAATTTTATTTTTTGATTATTTTGTAATTTTATTTTTTCTGTATTTTATTGAAAACATTGTAAAAATTGTTATTTTAGGTAGTGCATTAAATAAAGTTGGACAATGTCAACAAAAGTTAGGACAAATTGAGAGAAGTTTCATTAAAGATGCAGCAATTTGTTATATACAACCTTTAAGAAAATTTTTAGAAAGTGAAATGAAAACTGTTACTAAAGAAATGTCAATATTGGAAAATAAGCGGTATATATTTTATTTTTTCTGCATATTTAAATGTTCAATATTAATTAATTAAATTATTATTTATTATTTTTAGATTAGATTTAGATGCATGTAAAAATCGAGTAAGAAAAGCAAGAAGTATGTTGGGTCAACAGAGTGTAAGTTTTACCATTTATTATTTTAATAAATTATATATGTTATATATGTTTACAATGTGCTTTGTCCTATATATTGCTGCATATCATAGGAGTCTGGGGTATCTCCTGAAGTATTACTTGATCAGGTATTAAAGGAGTTAATACCTTCAGTGATTGAAAATTTATAATAAAATTTATAATAAAATAATCTTTTTTAAATATATATTTGATATTATTATGATGAAACTTTTAAAATCTATATATATGTATATATATATTATTTTATTATTTATGTTATAAGAAAATTCATAATAATCATATATGTTTATTTGAAAAATTATTTCTATTTAATTTTATTTTATTTTAATTTTTTATTAATCATTTATTTTATATTTAAGTTATATATATATTATATATTAAGTTATATAAAAATTGTTGATATTCAAAAATGATACAGAATAAAAAATAAAACTGTTTATTATATGTACTCAGGCAGAGAGGGAGTTGAGAGTAGCACAATCGGACTTCGATCGTCAAGCAGAGATTGTAAAATTATTATTGGAAGGAGTTTCAAGTTCTCAGGCAGGACACTTGCGTTGCTTACATGAATTTGTCGAAGCACAAGCGCGATATTATGCTCAATGTCATGCAACAATGCAAGATTTACAACGTGAACTTGCTGGGTAAGAAAGAAAATTTATTTTCAAAATTCGTTTTTTTTTCAAATATTATTTCATTGTCCTACACACTACTGTACAACTATCCTTATATAGCTATCCTACACTTTGGTGATCCGAGTGAGTAATGTTTAATAGTTATTGAATGCTATGTCATATATGACATGTAAAAGTATTTAGAATTAATTTAGCTTATAGAATCATTACTCATTCGCAAAGATCATCATGTATTAATTTGTATTGCCTAAAACTTTGCTTATTTTTATAAATGTGTATATATATAATGTTTATTTTTCTTTTTTTAATAGTAATTGTTATCTTAATTGTAGATCCTAAAATAAAAATAATTATGTATTTGTTGCTCTAGTTCTGTGCTTATTATACTTATTTATTCTTTCAATATATTCTTTCTATTTTCTATCTTTGCCTGCATGATTGGGATTCCAGGACGCGTCAACCAAGTCCTTTGCTGCGAGTCAACAGCGAAGATGTGATCGAGTTAACACCTTCAAATTCACAATCCCAAAATTCCTCTATACATCCACCACTTGCTGGTTCTACCTATGTTACTGCTACCTTTGATACTGATATCTCGAAAGTTTAGCTTTAAATTTAAGACTAATTAATCGCGTTAATGAAAGGCAATAACTACTTCATTTATTTATGATCTGAAATCATAAATAAAAGCTTATAGGGCATTTCTCCCTTATATATATAGATATATATATATTCGTTAACTTATACAATTTTAAAAATATGTTGAATGATTCTTAGTCTATTATACTATTATTGCATTATGAACTTGTAATTATCAGAATCAGTAAATAAATTATCTTATGAAATGTTTATTTACTTTCACACAATAAAAAAAATAGACAATTACATTAGTTAATAATAACAAGATCAGAAAAAAATTTTTATTAGATTTTTTTTTTTATTTATTTAATACTCTTTCTTGTTTAATACATATTTAAATCATGTTCTATTACATATTGTATAGTTGATTAATGTTTGTTTATAATGCATGATGCTAAACTTTTTTAATGTTAGCAAATTATTTGTTAAAAAAGATTAGGATTCTTTTTCCAAATCTTTTAATATGTTTTTAACATTATTTTTTGTGTTTTCCTATTTGCCAAATCGCTTATGCTTCTGTATGTGTACTAATATAATTTTACAATAATTTTAATATTTATTTATCTAGCATATAAATTATTAAAATATAGTAATAATTCAAAATAAGAATTTATATTTTTTTTATTTTTTTCTAAGTTCTTTGAAAACGAAATTAGAGTATTTTATCAATTTTTTAATTTAAAAAAAAAACACTATATTATGAATACAATCAAAATGTTAAAAATTACAAAAACAATTTTATATATTTGCACAAATAGTTAATTCATTATAAAACGCATGTTCACCAAACTCATCCAAATTGTAATTTATCCCACCCAGCTTATCTGGGGGTCCTTATCATCCGACTACCCTATCAACATCCAATGTATCAGAGAATGATGATGAACAACTTGCAAGGGTATTATGCGATTTTTCTGCAAGCAATTCTGAAGAATTAAGCGTCGTACAAAATGAGGTAACAAAATTCGTGATTTAGTTAAAAAGAAGCATGTTTGCAATATAGCTAAATAAATGCTACGAATTGTTGAAAATGAGTTCATTTATTAATTCAATTAAAAATAATTTTCTTCGTATAAAAATTTTGATATAATTAAATCAATTTTATAAATT